TGTTTTAAACCCTTCCCACACTCTTGCAATATTCTAAACAATGTTTCTAAACTCTAAACGCTCTAAAAGAGCACAGCATGTCATGATTTCAGCTCTCTGCCTCCTGCTGCACTCTGCCAGCGCTCTTGGCCACGCCCCCTTCGCCGCTGCAGAGTGGCGACATGACACCCTGCAGGAGGAAGCTTGCTAAATAATTTAAAATAATTTATTTTAAATAAAAATTCATGCCGATCGCGCGGCTCATCTATCAGTCAGCCAATTGTGTGTCATGTTCAATCTTAATTTGAAAAACGGCGATAGAGCGAGTCCACGAAAAACGAACCATGAAGTAGCGAGGGACTACTGTATAATGTAAAACTGATAGACATGTGAATGTTTTTAAAACTGCGTCCACCTGAACTGCTGAAATGTTTTGTGATAGCAGCAGTCCATTTTGTTCAAACTAGCTGTTCAGTACAAATGAATCTTGATTCCTTCAGACTGAAGCCATTCAAAGAGCTATGTACAAGTAAGATGCTGATTGTTTTTGGTGCTTCCAAAGAACCACATCTCCAGCAAAACAGTGATTTATTTTTACCGTAAGACATAGTTTTCCTGAAAACATCACATGAAAAGTTGTGGATTATCCCCTTTGTTTTGCTGTTCTGTGTTAAATTCAACACTCCCTAAGTTTTATTAGTACTTCGCACACCGCCTAGAATTTAAAAATCATGTTTGCTTAAAACATACTTCGAGCATTTGCAGGATTTCTGCCCAATAAGACCAAAAACAACACACCACGTTTCATAGGACGCCACAAAAAAAAAAAAAAAAAAAGCAACAGAACCACAAAAAGATGTTGATAAGTCAGCGCAGCTGCAGGATTAGGCAACACGAGTTCTTTAAACTGCTCGTCATGTGACGCCGCTTTGTGCTCAGACAGAAACTGTACGCTTGAGTGGCACACGAGCATGAAGAGATGTCTGGATTTGAATCTGGATTCAGTCAAATCTCAAAGTACAGATGAGAACCAAAGAAGCTTTCTTCAGTTTTTTTCTTTTACTAAAGCTCTGAGGACAATGAGAAGAATTCACCTGGTTCTTGCCAGTTTCTGCAGCAGAGGAACTGGTTTCTACAGACACAATGTGTGTTTATTTGAAGCCAATAACTCAAAAGAGCTAAACGTTTCCTATTCTTCTTTCATTTATGCACCTGGAGTCATTCAAACTGTAAAAAAAATACAACCCAACATATGAGCTATTTAACATCTAATACAAACTAAATACAGATGTGGAAACACACTCATAAACTAATTAAATGAACAATAACTTAATTCAAAGTATTATCATTTTCATCCAAGTATGGATTGGTTTAATAAAGGACTCCTAATTAACTTAAATTTAGCCTTAAATCAAGTTAAATGTTATCATTCTTTTAATCCAACATTACCTTTTACTGATTTTATTTTGAGCAATTTCAGTAACTAAATGTAGAATGTTTGTCTAAAATAAGTAATTTAAAAAAGTAGATTACAAAAAGTAAATGTGCTCCATAACTATATACAGTATTTATATAATATACATAATTTTTTACAGGTTTTAGGATAATAGTTTTGATGTATTCCAGATTAAAATTAAGGGTTTTCTCAAGATAACAACCATCAGTGGAAATTATCAGCTATTTCTTCTAATTTAATCTTTCAAAAGCTATTTTATGTTAACAAATTAACACTTTGGCCTTGTCAGAAACTATTTTAGTTTTCTCAAACAACTTTCTGAAATCCAAAGTTTGTCAGCCAAACAGTAAAAATAATAAACTACAAATAAAGTTGTTTCAAGTTTATTGGAAACAAATCTTCACAAATGCAGAACTGTAGCTAGAAATTGTTTCCTCTTCTCGGAATGATGAAAGATAAAACCTTTAATCTGCTTTTCCAGTTGTTTGAGTAATCATCTGCTTTGGGGCAATAATTGTCTTTTTTGTAGTTTTAAACTAACACTTGTGTGTTATTCTTTTTCCATTTTATGGTTCCAGGAGAAGCAGTATGTGGGCTTCGCCACTCTGCCCAACCAGGTCCACAGGAAGTCCGTAAAGAAGGGTTTCGATTTCACGCTGATGGTGGCAGGTCGGTTTCCTTGTTAAAAACAACAACTCATGAACATGTTGATCAGTTCTCATCCAATCAACAGGTTACTGTCCCCAGTCACTGAGCACAAAGGGGGAATTAGAAATACCCGTCCACCCATTCACCTGTGTGTGAATGTTGTGAGCGCGATAACTTGAAAATAAGGACTTCCATTTTGGTGCATGGCTGCATCTAAGTGTACGAAAGAATCCTATCAAAAACTGGGTTTCCAAGATGGCAGCTGCCATATACAGTATATATGTAAATTTGGTGAATTGGATATCTTTAAAAAATAAGCAACAGACCAACTTCCTTTTTGGTGTGTGGCTGTATCTAGACGTGAAAAAGGTTCCTTTTGAAAATTGGGTTGCTACGTCAAAATCCAAGATGGTCGCCACCATATATATTTATATGTAAACCAGCCAGCCCGATCATTTGAGGCAATTATGCTTTTATAAAGCTTAAAAATGTAGTTTCCTTAAATGATTGGGGTGGCTGATAATTAACCTAAGAGGGCCAAGTCCACCATTGGCCGCCCCCAGGCCACACCATTGGTGGTGGATAACATGGCTCCGTACACTCGCCAGGATCTGTCACTCTGTGCCGCCTCGTACACAAAAAATACAAATAAAAACGACCTCTGTTCTTCCACACAGTGAAACGCCACTGGAATATCAAAAAAACATTAAGGTTTACTTGTTATCACTTCCAGTCCAGAAAAACACTCCTCTAGAAAACTACAAACATTCAGTCAAACGCCTCAGTGATGAAGGACATCGGTGTACCAACTATTAAAACTCATGTTGTTTAAAAAAACTGCTTTTATGACGTTCATAGTGACGAATTAAACATAAAACTTTTCAGAGGTTAAAGATTGATTCTGGGGCTGCATGTAATTTACATCTGAGTGTTCAAAAGAAAATGGCAGCTCAGCCGGTTTGAACTGTGTTTGTGTTTTATTATAACTGTGTTAATCGTGTTATATCTGTGTGTGTTCATGTTGCAGGGGAGTCTGGGATGGGAAAATCCACTTTGGTCAACAGCCTGTTCCTCACAGACCTCTACAAAGACAGAAAGTTACTGAACGCTGAGGGTGAGTCTAAGTTATTTTTTACCATTCAATGTTTTAGCTTCATTATGGTTCAATGTTACAGTTTTTTATTTGATGGGTTGGGAGCAAGTTTAGTGTCACAAGGTTTGTAGGAGTTTCTAAACAAGCTTTCTTTAAATCAAATGCTTATTTTCAGAAAATGAGGTGGTTCTTGCAAATGTAAAGTCATATAATGTCTAAAATTCATAACAGTACTATTAAAGATGATGAGAACTAATCATCTGGCTCCATTTGAGCCCGTTTCATAAAGTTCTGCTTGTGTCGGTTGGATCTCATGACTCGGGACAGATTTCAACTGAACATTCAGAAAGAAATCATTGGATGGACTTCAACAACAGATTAACCTTTGGAGTCAACTGAGCTTAAAAACACAAAATGGCTATAACTCTGCCATTTTTTATTTATTTATTTTTTTTACAAATATTTATCTAAAATTTGGTGTGGTAGTAGCAGAGACTGATCTACATCACCTAATCAGGTCTATCAGGTCTCTCTTGTAAATGAGTCCTCGAGGCTCAATGGGATTTACCTGTATAAATAAAGGTTGATTGATAATCTGAGTGCTCCACATTGTGCAAAGTCTTTGCTTAAACCGTTGCATTTGTCTGTCTGGATGGATTTTAATGAAACTCTAAGAAAGTGCGTCCAGGGTAAACATCTACATTTGATTAAACTTTGGAATCAACCCCAATTCAAGATGGCAGTCACAGCTGATGGAGCTTATCCAACGTAAAAATGGCTGCAACTTAGTCAGCTTTACAAATATTGAGCTAAAAATGGGTGACTGATAGTCACCGAGAGTCATCTTCAACATGTAACTTCTTCTTCTTTCGGCTTTTCCCTCTTCAGGGGTTGCCACACCAAGTCATCCTCCTCCATTTCACTCTGTCCTCACTCCAACTACCTTCATGTCCTCTCTAACTGCATCCATATATCTCCTCTTTGACTTTTTTTCTGGCAGCTGCATTTCTAACATTCTTCTACCAGTATACCCACTGTCCCTCCTCTGGACATGTCCAGACCATCTCAGTTTGTCCTCTCTAACTTTATCTCCCAGCTGTTCAACATGTGCTGTACCTCTGATGATCTCATTCCTAATCTTATCCATCCTTGTCACTCCTAAGGAGAACCTCAACATATCAATTTCTGCCACTTCCAGTTCTTTCTCCTGTCTTTTTGTCAATGCCACTGTCTCCAGACCATACAACAGAGCTGGTCTCACCACTGTCTTGTAAACTTTTCCTTTGACCTTTGCTGACACCCTTTTGTTTCAAATCACTCCTGAAATTTTTCTGCATCCACTCCATCCAGCCTGGACTCTCTTCTTCACCTCTTTACCCCACTCCCCACTTTCCTGGACAGTGGACCTCAAGTACTTGAAGTCCACGTCTTCAACTCATAGGTCTTTAACTTCATCTGTTATTTTCTTTGCGTCGATGCTTTGCAGAACGCATTAACCAAACCGTAGAGATCATCAAACACACTGTAGACATCGAGGAGAAAGGAGTGAAGCTCAAGCTGACCATCGTGGACACGCCGGGATTCGGAGACGCCGTCAACAACAACGAGTGGTGAGTTAAAACCCTCGCCGGTCTGATGTCGGCTGATTTATACGCTGAGCTCTACTTATTTGTGTGTGTGTCCTAGCTGGAAGCCGATCACGGACTATATAGATCAGCAGTTTGAGCAGTACTTCAGGGACGAGAGCGGGCTGAACAGAAAGAACATTCAGGACAATAGAGTCCACTGCTGCCTCTACTTCATACCTCCATTTGGGCATGGGTAAAGATGCACACGCACACTAATGCGGTGTCTAATCACACACCAGGAGAAGCTCATCCCGGCTTTCCATCCACAGGCTGCGTCCGGTGGATGTCGAGTTCATGAAGGCTCTGCATGAAAAAGTGAACATAATTCCTCTCATTGCCAAAGCCGACTGCCTCACGCCCACCGAGATCAAAAAGCTTAAAGACCGGGTGAGCCGAAGACCCACAGGTTTGTTCGAAGCTCAGTAGAGAAATTTCTGACCCGCCTTCGTGTTTTTGTGTCGTCTGTCAGATACGAGAGGAGATAGACAAGTTTGGGATCAAGGTGTACCAGTTCCCTGAATGTGACTCTGATGAGGATGAGGAGTTTAAACAACTTGACAAAGAGCTGAAGGTGAGTCTGCTCTGCTGTTTGGACCAGTCTGAACATTTAGAGCCATGTGCAGCGCTGACGATGACAGCACACCAAATTTCAGATGAATATCTGTAAGATTGTTGCTGTGGCAGCCACCTTGAAGTGGGTTGACTCCAAAACAATCAGTTTTTAGATGCACATCCGATGATTACGATCTGAAACTTAATGGTTTATGAGATATTTTGCTAACAGACAGTCAGAATTGACTCAGAGTAGATGTCAATCATCAATTAGTTATCAGAGCTCAAGTTGGGGATGACTCTCAGCTACTAATGCAAGAAAATTTTTGTTTATCTGTACAACTGGTTGATTTTTTTTTGTGCATTTTTTGTGTTTGCAAAGGTTGCTTAGCTGTGGCAGCCATCTTGAAACGGGTTGTCCTTTGTAACCACCGCCACAAGCCAGCATTTATCACCCAGGGCCAATAAATGCTGGCTTGTAATGTGAATCTGCCTTGAAAGTGTGAGAAAATAGACAGCAAGCTTGTTTTTTTATGTTTTTGTTTTTTTTAAGAATCGCAGCTGTGCTCTTGAGTTACTATCGAACTATGTGAATGTGCAGCGGCACGCTCAGTCAGCTGTGCTCGGGCAGATAGAGGTTCAAAGAAACAACTTGTCTTCATGTGTCTGAGTGCAGGAGTGCACGCCGTTCGCTGTGATCGGCAGTAATACAGTGGTGGAGGCCAGAGGTCAGAGGGTGAGAGGAAGACTGTACCCCTGGGGGATTGTTGAAGGTATGTTTTTAAATTGTGCATCCATTCAGCTCCCATTATTATGAATACAAAGTACGCACATTACGCATGTTGTAACATGAACTATTGAGTAATTGAATGTGTTTCTGCGCTTAGTGGAAAATCAGTCCCACTGTGACTTTGTGAAACTGAGGAACATGCTCATCCGTTCACACATGCACGACCTCAAAGACGTCACCTGCGACGTCCACTATGAAAACTACAGAGCGCAGTGCATCCAGGAGATGACCAGGTTTGTGTGTGCAAGCAAGCGAGTCTCAGAATGGATGAGGATCGGTTAGCACAAATGACGCCTGCCTCACCTCTCCTCTTCCTCACCTCCCCAGTAAACTGGCTCAGGACAACCGGATGGAGAGCCCCATCCCCATCCTGCCGCTCTCCACTCCAGATGTGGACACTGAGAAGCTCATCAAGATGAAAGACGAGGAAGTACGAAGAACCAGACAATGTTTAGTTTTCATTTTGCCGAGTCAGCATTGACCCAATTATGTTCCCATTTATAAGTTTGTTTGAGCATCTGGTGCAATCTAACTACATCTGTATACTTTGTGAGCATTCATCAAAACATTTAGATAAAACAGGAATGATTAGGCATGTCTTTTGAGTTTTGTAACTTTAAATTTATTTTTTACAGTATAATTCCCCCAAAATACATAACGACCTTTTCAGTTCCTTCAAAAACATTGTTCTTTTTAAATCCACATCAGCAAGCCTACTCTGTTTTTGTCTTCTTATGCTACTCTTAGCTTTTAGCTACTATTCTGCTTCTTTTTGCAACAGTATTGTTTTGAGTTTAGCTTTTGCTTCTGTTTTGCTAAAGTTAGCTTCAGCATTTGTTTAGCTACTTTTAGCTACTGTTTTCCTCATTTTGGCATGTTTTTCCAGTTTTAGCTACCCATATAATTGTAGATTTGCTTAGCTAATTTTAGCTAACGTTTTGCAAATCATAACATCTTTTTTGCTGCTTTTAAGTTCTGTTTTGATGATTTTGGTTTTTAGTTCTTGTTTAGCATCTGCTCTTCTTGTTTTCCCTTTAAACAGTTTAAACTTAAATTTCAGTGAAGTTGAGTAAAATGCAGTTTGTTTGATTTATTTATGATCTGAAGCCACAGTTTTGTGTGACTTTCCTTCCTTTCTCTCTGTGCAGCTGAGGAGGATGCAGGAGATGCTGAACAAGATGCAGCAGCAGATGCACGACAAGGACTAGTGATGCTAGCGGTGCTGAAGCTGCGGCGCCACCTGCTGTTTCTGCCCCCATCAACTGCGAGACCTTCAGCCCTGGGTGGTGGCAACTCTTAACTGCATTTCTCTTCAGTTTGGTGCTTCGTTTTGTGTGTCTGCCTGGAGGTGGATTATTTCTCTGAATATTTCTGTTTTCCCATTTTGAGCCCTTTGCTGTTGTATTAACACAAGGAATATAAATTTAAATAACTCCTCAGTATATCTTAATTTATAACGCAGTGCTAAGCATTTTCAATATGATGTGAGGGTGTGTTTTGTAAAGAAATATAGGTTGACAATTAGAATTGAACATTATTGTTTTCTATTGTGTGTGTTTGATATATGAGTGTTTAATATAAATTTACCTTCCATAACATTCCCATTGACCTCATAAAGGTGCCACGGTAACATTTATTTAATTAAAAGTCCACGTAAGCTTATCATTTGTTCAGAAACTTCTAAATTCCTCAGACATTACCTGTCAAAACATCGTCTCTGAATATTTCAATGGGCTGAACTGGAAATGCTTTTTCTGTGAGTGAAGAGCCTCTGACCAAGAAAGAGACAGGATTTGTGCATTATTGGGTGCATGTGAAAGCATGCGGTCAGTCCTTAAATCTGCTGAAAGCTGTGGGCCTATTTTTACTGCTTTACAGCTGGATCCTTGTTTTTGTATTAAATGCACTTTGCTTTGTTGCATCTACAGGATGGAAATAACAAGGAGCAAAAAAGCACAGTGTCTGTGATTCTGTTTTGAATTTATCTCATTTGAAGTGACTTATGCCATAGAAGTTGTTAAACCTACATGTGTGTTAGGATCGCAGCGTGCGTGTGTGCGTGTGTGTATATATGTGTATGCGTGTGCTGATGCTGACGACCTGTACATACATTTGCCTGAAGGCTGTGAGCTCAGTCTGTGTCCCATTTGCAAAAAGTTAATAAAAAAAACCTTGTCTTCTTGTCAGCTTGCCTTCTTATTGTTCCTGGAACGTGAGTCATGTGAACGCAGGACAACGTCCTCTTCCTGTCCATCATGTCCCTGCAGCAGAACCCAGAGCTGCAGCTTCTGCAGGAACACGATGTGCTGATGCACATTTATCTCCTGCAGCCATTCTTTCCTCGCACAGCTGACAGCATCTTCTTCCTGCTGATCGTAAGTGGAATAAGAAGCACAAGTTTCTTCAGAACAAATAAAAATATGAATGCTCTATATTCATTAAAACTGTTAGCATAAAAAATAAGTGAGAGCACTTGATGGTTTGAGTGCACTACTGTTAGTATACAATGATGCAAATTAAAAGATTTCATTATGCAAATTTGCGCTTTTCAGCAATAATGACTTTGCTGCAAGGATAAATCTATTTTGTATTTACTTCAATTTTGCTGGGAAACTTGAACTATCCTATTTTCCCTAAATGTCTTAAAGTCATAATACCATATATACATTAATTACTGTAAATAACCTGAATGTAAAAAAAACCCATTAAATATGCTGGAATATAGAGAATAATGAAAAAATAATGGGAATAGAAAAGCAATTGATATTAAAATATATAACCCTTTAGGAGTAACGCGTTACAAAACATCCTCCAATAATTAATCTCTGAAACACTCGATAACAAATATATTTAATTTGCAGATAAACCCTCGGCTCAAAGTTAAATTTTTCCATTTGTTGTTCTTTGTAGTTTATTTGTGGAGACATCGTAGCTGCTGTGTGTTTAATTGAATTTAATTTAGTCGATTCCATAGAAAATCTTTTTAAAACGATTGCCGCCATTAAATGAGTTGAAACTCTTCACGTTGGTGTGCATGTTTTGTGATGTGTGTGTGTGTGTGTGGGGGGGGGGGTACTTTTTGACAGCTGTCTTTATCAGTAAGAAACAGCTGGCGGTACGTCACGCTTCATCTGAAACCAACTCTAAGACCCACAATCATCTCCGTGCACAGAGCTGAAGGTAAACGTCTCTCCTCCAACTTCTAAGCTTTTTTTTGTTTGTTTTACATTGTAGAGACTTAAAATATTACTTGATATATAAATCTTTCTGTTAAAGTGGCAATTTCTTTTTGGTAACATTTCTGGTTTATATTAAGATTTATTTTATTGTTTTAATTTTGTGCTTCAGAGCTTGTTCACGTTAAGATTATGAACACAGACTATCCTAACCTCACAGAATTCTTAACATTTAACTAAAAAAAATAGTTTTTATTATAGAAACCTAACAAAAAAAATTATAAGAACGAAAATGACCTAAACATGCTGTATATGACCTATAAATATGATGCCACCATTGCACATATGTTCTCATATGTTTACAGAATAAAACCAATTGCATGGGTAATAATCTGAAGTTCTGGTTTCTAATAACTATTTTTATTAGAAATTAGGACTTCACATGTACATATTGCTTGTTGACAATAATTCAGGGCGGTACGGCAAAGCGTTAGTTGGATCTGTTGTCTCAAAGCAAGAAGTTGCAGCTTCGCCTCCTGCCTGAGGTCTTTCTACACGGAGACTGCACATTCTCCACGCGTGGGTTTCCTTCCACTGAGCAAACTGTTAGTTTAACTTCAAATTGGTGGGTGTGAGTGGGAGCGTGAATGGTTGTGTGTTTCGTTCAGCTCTATGTTGCACTGTAATGTCCACTTGAGGACACTAGCTCCTCCATGACCCTACATGTAAAATGAGCAGATGGACAATTTATAGGGGAAAACAACTGTAAATAAAACACTGAAAGGTTTGGACCTGAAAATGCAGCACAATATGAATAAAAGTATATTTACTGGTATTGGATATTAAAAGTGTGTCCACGTAATCTATTAGCAGGGGCGCCTAAACTTTTTCCCTGAGAGGGCCAAATTTAAAATTTATCAGAGGACTGCAGGCCAAATGCAATAATACATGAAATACAAATACTTCTTTAAAGTCCATTTATTTATTACAGTTATTTATCCTTCCATTCTATATAAAGAACGTCACAGAACAGACTGCGTTGGTGGTGTGGGGTCTGGGGGTCCTCCCCCAGAGAATTTTGACTAAAGTAGATGCCATTTCCTGCATTCTGGTGTATTTTACAGAAGTTTATTACAGTAGATTAACATGAAACAAAACATGTAAACTCTGTTATTTTTAAATCTCTCTGACTGCAAAGCGTTCGTAATGCAACAACGATGCAGCTCTGCAGGTAAAAGGTGTACACTTCAGGACAAATCGAGGTTGCTGATTGGTCAGTTGCTGATGTGCCTGCTGGATTGATTGACAGGTGGCATGACTCGTGCAAAAAAAATCATACATTTTATTGGCCCGTTTGAGACTGTTGTAATTTATTCCATGTTTATTCAATATTTTGGTGAATCTAAAGTTTTATAACTGTTTCCTTACACAATCCTAAAAATGTATTTATTTTCCAGGATTGCTGAGTTTAAATTTAAAGAGGCTCAAATCACCACTGAAACCAGTTCATATTTACAATTAAACACTTTGGGATTTATAAGTGTGTTCTGTCAAAGGAAAATGTTATTTAGTGGCAAAAAACTGCCGAGGGATGGTAGAAGGGATGTCAAAATGAAATATAAAAATATAAATTAAAATTATTTAAAAAATACATAAATTTTCTACGCTACTGTGTAATCCGTGTAGTTAAATTATGATAGTCAGGCTGACTAACAATAAAGTTAATGCATGGAGTCAATGAGTGTAAGCACATTGATTCTTCAAAGGAAATTTTAATATATTAATGAGGACAGCTTGGCAGGCCCCACTTTGGGCACCCCTGATCTATAGGCTAGCATAATTACATGTTTTAATACACTTGTGGTATATGTTTTCATAACAACACTCAAAGAGATGATTTCATGGATTAAACACAGCCAAGAAATTATTGTTGAATACTGGACGTTGCAACTTTATTTATTTTGAATTGTTTGTAGAACTAAAACTCAAAGTGTTTCACAGAACAAAGGCAAACAAGCAAAATGATAAGACAATAAAAATTAGTTAAAAGGTTAATATGACCTTGTTGTGCACTTTAGATCTGTATTACTCTAAAAGTTGTGTCCTCTCTTTTTCTAGTTCGGTAACCATGACGTGGCTTCTACTACTGTGTCTGCTCCTTTTCGTCGGAGGTCAGAGGTCGTCAGCGTGCCCTGACGCCTGCTCCTGTGTAGGCAGTCAGGTGGACTGCAGCAGCAGGTCACTCAACTCCGCCTCCATGCCCACCAGATTCCCTGCAGAAACCACCCACATCTTTCTTCATAACAACCTGCTGACCACCTTCCCCAATGGGCTCCTGGATAACCTGACCTCCCTTCGCCACGTCTCCCTTCATGGTAACCCCTGGGTGTGTGACTGTGGCATCTTCTACCTGCGGTCCTGGCTGAGACGTCAATCCCTCCACACTCCACCCCACCTGGGGGTCAACTGCAGCTCCCCTGCCAGCCTGAGAGGTCGGCTGGTGGTGTATCTGACAGAAGAGGAGGTGCTGGACTCCTGCCAGTACTGGTACTGTGACCTGGCCCTGGCCTCAGTGCTGTCTCTGTTTGTGTTTGTGGGGTTCCAGATGGGTCTTCTGGTAGCTGTCATCATTTTCTTGAAGAAGTTTGAGCGACTCTCCAAAGAGGCAAAACGGACCATGGAGGAGAGCTTCACAGCTGGGGACAACACCAGGGAGAACGATTACGAGCGTTTAAAGGACAGCAGCATCTGAGCTGTCAATCATTTCTTTACTGTAGAAATACAAACTATATGAATTACATTAAAACCAGATTTAAATCCAGTTCCAGGTGGGACTCTTGGACAATAAACTGTTCACTTATAAAATATAGTTCCTTTATAAAACTCTCCACATTATTTTTAGTTGATATGTGCTGATAAATAATAAAAATCTTTTTAACCTTGTGAGGGAAAGGCTCATGTTAATGTATCTTTGAATTGTAACACCTTTGCATATCTAAAGGTGCTTTTGGGTGCATGTATGTAATTATTAGTGATACCATAAAGAGAAACCATCTGTTTTCTTTTGTCTACAATGATTTGTGGTAAAATATCAGATATTGTTTTATAGGGCTTTTTTTTTTTTATTTAAATTTGAAATAAATAATATGGTTTCTTTAAATTGTGAGCCTTCAGCATTTCAAATATTTTTTTACAGGGATGCACGCCGTAAACATATTAAGTAAAGAGTATTACGAGTATTACAGTCTATATTATATTTGGGTTTTTTATGTTATTTTTACTTTTTATGTTTGTAGCATTTGTCATATTTTTCCTCAATTTTTAGTTTTTTAAAGAAAAATGCAAACCGATTTTAATTCATATCTGTTCAGAATGTAAGGTAACATCTTTGCCTCACATTTCTTTTCCACACATTTTCAATAAACAAAAATTAATATCAATGAAAATCAACCTTGACCTCAAGTAACATATTTTAACTAAAAACTAATGCAGTCATGTTCTTGTTTTTAGTTTTTTACAATGCCCTACAAACTAACTGGGTTTTTTTTTTGTTTTTTTTTTTTTTTGCTACTTTTCTTTTTAAATACCATTTTATTTGTACTTGTTAAAAAATATATATACCGGTAAATTAAAAAAATCTCAATTTGTAAGCATCCTTTATGATTGTCTTTTGTTGTCCACAGTTGTCATCACTCTTTGTTCAAATCAGGTCTTTCTTGTAAATGAGTCCCCGAGGCTCAATGGGATTAATCTGTATAAATAAAGGTTGAATGAAAATAAAATGATTCACAATGATTTTTTTTTTTTTTTTTTTACAAAACATCAATGCAGATTCAACAATTTTCAGTCAGGTCATATGGACAGTTTCTTTTCTTTTTTTTGTGTGTGCTGAAACGTTTCACCTTCCATCCAGAAGGCTTCATCAGTCAAGAAAACACACAACACAAAACTACTGATGAAGCCTTCTGGGTGGAAGGTGGAATTTTCAGCACAAAAAAAAAAAAAAAAAGAAACTGTCCAGATGACCTGACTGAATATTGTTGGATTTTATACCTGGATTATTGAGCATGGACTTTGTTGATCAATGCAGATTATTATTTTCTAAAAAAAAATTGTCTTCAATTATTCTTGACCAATAAAACATACATCTTATCACCCTTTTTTGTGATTTATCTACCAGGATGATTGAGTTTTCAAACCTTGAATTTTATCGTTTGGTGACGCTTGCGGACATCAATGCGCATGCGTAAACTCGGGCACCACGTTCAGCAGCGGAACCTTTTTACAATCAGACCGTTTTCGAGTCGAACAGTTTTAACCGATGGACAATTGATGTGTTTACACGTGAGGCTTTTGCTAGACCCGCTTTTTGTAAAATATTGGTTTAAATTTCAAATGCCATCGTTTAAATTGTTATAATAAAAAGGTAGGAACGATCGACATTTATAAATAAGTAGTCAGATTTGTGAGCTACGTTTTTAGCGTTATGATCTGCCAAACAAGAAGGTTAGCTTTATCATTACTGTGTAAGTTGTAAATTTTGTGAACACAGTATTCCTAACATTCAAATCTCAGTTTAAAATGGGGAAATTAAGGAGAACGCACAAATGGAAAGGAAGGCAGCAAAGTGAAACACAGCAACCAGTACGAGAGAGCACGGATGTTGTGGTAGAAATACAAGGTGGGATCTGTTATAATCAAGTGTTTATATACATATATATATATATAAAACACAACACTGCTCGCTGTGTCTTTTTTCATCTCCTGTGTGTCTTTTGTTGTCATCAGATGGAGCTCAGTTGAAAGGTGTGGATGAGAGCAACGCTCTGGTTCTTCCAGCCACCAAGCCCAAGAAGAAAAAAGAAACACGGTCGTCCGTTTCCACCAAGAAGCCGCTATCAAAGAAGCAGAAAAAAGTGTTGCAGAAGGTTCTGGAGCGTAAGGAAAAGAAAACTCAGGTGAGACAATGTGAAGCTATTTTTATAAAAGAATATCTGAAACAGTAACTCACATTAGTCCTGGTTTAATATTGTTTTCATCCAAAACATGGCACTCTCCGGCGGTTTATCAACATTATTACCCAACCATAAATCTGGATTTAATGTCCAAATGGTATTTACATTTAATAAATCTGAAGGCTATCGAGTCGTTCCATCTTAGTAGACTGTCTGATCTATCTGATACCAGTGAAGATAGAAATTTTGCCTGTTTTACATCAGTTTAAAAGTTATTATCTGGTTGTTAGAGTTGAGACAATATTTAATAGTTCTAAAGCATTATTTTTTAGGTGTACTTTGATATGTGTTTATGGTTTTAATAAAGACTGAAGAAATTACCGTACATTAAGTGGCATCAGTACTGAAACCAAAAAGGTGCCGCAGGGAAATAAACAATTCTGGTGTATTTGTAGAATGAATCTTTAATGTTGCTTTTTCTTCCAGCTTTCACTTAATACAACACCAAAAACACAATGTTTAAATGCAGTTATCCGGGCTTGTTTTTAGTAATTATAATACACAGACTCATTGATTTATCTCTCCAATAAGATTTCCAGAATGTGTTCGATCACAGCTTTGTTTGTCTTTTTTAGAGAGCAGACATCCTGAGTAAACTGGCTGAGGTGCAGCTTCCAGAGTCTGAACTGAAACTTTTGTACACAACATCCAAACTGGGAACGGGAGACAAACTTTACCAGATTAAGCAGTAAGTTTTCAGTGACTACGTAAACACACTAGGGAGAACTAGTTCTCCTGAAGGAAACACACCAAGGTTTTAATGAAGTTCCAGACAAATTAATTTGCTCGTCCAAAAGTTTCTGTTAAAAAATAATCACTCCTACAACTGCAAAAATGTAATTTGCTTACTTTGAATTTTAAGGTTTGGGACCTTGGAATCAAGAAAAAAATGCAGATAAACTTTTTAAAAACATTTTAAGGCTGTAGAAGAAATGCAGATGATCACATTCCCGAAAAATAGTTTTATTTAAGACTAAATGGATGCTTTTGTTAGTTCGAGTTTTTAATCAGGACAAACAGTATGATTTGTTTGGAAAAGCTAAAGTAAAAGCTTTTTATTCTTTTCAGGTTATCAGATGAAGTCAAAGAAGGAGATTCTGGTCCAAAAATCAGCAGTGTCAGCGGTGCAAACAGAAAGAGGAAATGGAAGGAAGAGGAGGAAGATAATGAAGAGCAAAAAGAAGGAGAAAGCAGTGATGAGGACACATCATCAGGGGAGGAAGAGGAGGAGGAGAAGGAGGTGAATAACACCACAGAGGCAAGTGGATCTAAGGAGACCAGTCCTCCTTGTAAGGAGAAAGACACTACCGGTAAACATGAGCAGCCAGAACAGATGGTCACAGATGAACAGGAAGAAAAGATTCTGGATCAGAAGAAAGTCGTAAACAAAACGCCTGCAGAGCCGGCGGTCTTCATTCCTGTTGACAGGTCACCAGAAATACAGGTGTGCAACAACGCATGAAACACGTTTGATTTAAAAAGCTGTTTTTGTGAGCGTGCTACGAGAACGTGTGACTCTGCTGCCGTAGGAGGCCCGTCTGAAGCTGCCCGTGTTGGCAGAGGAGCAGGTCATCATGGAGGCAATTGGAGAAAATCCCTGTGTTGTGATCTGTGGAGAGACGGGGAGTGGAAAGACCACACAAGTGCCTCAGTTTCTGTATGAAGCTGGCTATGCCAGGTAATTTATCCTGTAGTGTTTTGTTTACCCACACAAAATATAACATCATAAAAATCTTGTTCTGCTAATTTCCGTTTCCTCCAGTGGCAGTGGGATTATTGGTATCACTGAGCCAAGGAGAGTAGCAGCTGTCAGCATGTCTCACAGAGTGGCCAAAGAGATGAACCTCCCCACACAGTAAATAACCACAGTTACCCTGAGTACATACTCAAAACATATACAACATAAAGTGCTCTCAAATTTACAGGCATGAAGAGCTTTATGTCAGGATTTCTGCTCGTAATGGTGCATGCTGGTGTGTCTCTTCAGGGTTGTGTCGTATCAGATTCGATATGAAGGCAACGTGACGAGTGACACAAAGATCAAGTTTATGACAGATGGTGTCCTGCTGAAAGAGATTCAGAAGGTATCATATTATTTTGTTCATCTTAATCATCAAAAACAGGACGAGCTGTAGCTTGCAGGTATCTTAAGGATGTCCAGGTGATTAATTAGACATTGCAGCACATTTAGTCTCTAAAGGCCCCAGTAGGAACAATCCGCATCATCCATCTGTTGGCTACTGATTGAGCTCATCAAGAGAAAGAGTTGCTTTTATAAAATGACACTTTGTGTTGAGCATCACATCACTGAGCGCAGTAAAAAAAAAAAAAAGATTTGTGGAATAAATGGACTGTTTGTTTTGTGCTGCAGGACTTTCTGCTTCAGAGATACAATGTAATAATCATAGATGAAGCCCATGAAAGGAGCGTTTACACAGACATCCTCATCGGATTGTTGTCTCGCATCGTCCCGCTCAGGAACAAGGTCAGAGACAAAACCGTCCCATGTAATGTTTCAGATTCACGTCTTTGTTGCGCCATCATCCCAACATTTTCATTTGTTTTCCTCTCGTCTGTCTGCAGAAAGGCATGCCCATGAAGCTGCTGATCATGTCAGCAACTTTGCGAGTCGAGGACTTCACCGAAAACCTGAAGCTTTTTAGGACGCCTCCGCCCGTCATCAAAGTCGACGCTCGACAGTTTCCTGTCACTATTCACTTCAACAAACGAACTCCGCTCGAGGATTACACCGGAGAAGCTTTTCACAAGGCCTGCAAAATCCACCGCATGCTTCCTCCAGGTAGTCTGACTATGATCTGAAAATGGAGTATGTGAAGCGTAATTTTCAGTAAATCAGCAGGATAAGGAGCTGAATCATTATTTACCTCCCTGATGTCATGTTTCTGTTCTTCAGGGGGGATATTGGTGTTTCTGACTGGTCAAGCTGAAGTTCACAGTCTCTGCAGAAGACTCAGAAAAGCTTTCCCCTTCAGGAAAGGCAGCGCAACGGCTGGTGCGTGCTCAGCCTCCTCGCGTGCCTCTCTTCTGGAGAAACATTTTTTAACATTTACATGTTTTTGTGAGCAGCTGAAGATGAGGAAGCAGACACTTCTGAGGCGATGAGGAAATTTAAGAAAGCCAAGTCGAAGAAAACTGTTGTAAGTCTTTACAGTAATAAAATAAAAAGAGCTAATAAATAAACCCATTTGTTATCAGGAATAATTATTAAAGTGGAAGACTCTTTTAGACATATTTTAGCCTCAAATATGAACCGTTACTCCTCAGTGTCCACTACCATGTGCATACATTGTATTCCATTAAAGAAATCTGACACTTGTTCTAATATTTTATCTTTAAATGCTACATATCTTTACCACGGTACTGCTTTTATGCAGTGACACATTTATTTCTATCAAGAGTGACACTCTTTTTTTTACCAAGCTCTTGTGTTAATGGTGGAAGAGTTGGGCGGCTGCATCGTTTTTTGTTGTTGTTTTTTTTACAGACCCTTATGTTCGTACTTTTTTTTGCACTGTTTCCAATAAATCAACTTGATGTGCCAAAGGTTCCTTGTACCCGTATATATCCTGCCAGATGCCTGGTGCCCTTGTAAAGACACAGTCAGTGTTTTTATGGCACCTCAGTGGGCCTAATGTAACTGATGATCAATGCATCCCTGCTGGTTTAGATGAATATTCATTCAGAATCCATTTTTTCTGATGAAATTTGTTTTTTTAATGACTATGATAACGTGAGCTTGTATTTTCTACGTCCCTCTCTGCTGCTTTTAACAGTTTACACATTAGAAATTATTAAAAATTTGTTCGTCTGACTTCACATTCTTGTACTTTTGTAAAGTGTTTCTTTTCAAAATGTCTGAAGTGGTTTAACTCTGATTTTAGTCTCTTCCTCGGATCAACTTGGATAACTACTCAGCCCTGCCCGTGGATGAGGGGGACGAGGACAGAGAGGCGGGGATTGGAGATGAAGAGGACGGAGACTCAGACCTCGACCTTGGAGACGGTCCTGCTGACACAGGCAAGTTAATCCAAAGAGATATATATATATATATATATATATATATATATATATATATAGAGAGAGAGAGAGAGAGAGAGAGAGAGAGAGAGAGAGAGCGAGAGAGAGAGAGAGAGACAGATTAACATAAATTAAAACATTTCAGTTTCTGAAGTCATTATCAACCTGGTTCCTGAGTCGAAGAAATCCACTCATTTAATATTTCTCCTACCATCCTGAACTTTAAGTCTTTGTGCCTTTACTGAACCAGGGGGGTGAGGTGGGAAGTTGAAACCCTTTGTTTCTTTTTGGTTAACTGCAAAGTTTCACCAGATTTGATCGAGTTTACTTTATATCAGAAAGATATTAAAGGTTTTGCATTCCCCGAAGGGATTCATACCGCCTGCTACCTTTTATGCCAGAGTTTTAAACTAAAATCTTCTAAAGTTGAGAAATGATGTGGTTGTTGTCAAACCTTGAAAGTACCATCATATACCAACACATGTATCAAGATGCAACAAAATTTGTCATGTTTTTTTTTTTAAATAAAGTTTGCTCTGTGTTTTGTTTCTGTAGAGGAGAAAGCCGATCCGTCCATCCCTCTGTATGTTCTTCCTCTTTACTCTCTGTTGGGCCCTGCACAGCAGGCCAAGGTGAGGTTAACATCTTGTGTCCACACAAAACTTCTTAAAAGTTTTACCACGACTAAATAAGTGGGTAGTTTTGATTAAGAACATTCTAAATGCACAAATAAGGTAGTTTTCTCTATATTTCACTAGTAAATGTTCTAATCGTGGCTATTCTAAATCAGATTTAGGCCTAAAAATACTGTTTTCATGCCGTGTTCAGTACCAGAGCAGTCATAATTCACAAAGTGCAACACATGCTGGTGTATTTTGTGGCTGCAGGTGTTCAGGCCTCCTCCGCCTGGTACTCGCCTCTGTGTCGTGGCCACGAATGTTGCAGAAACGTCTTTGACCATCCCTGGCATCAAATATGTGGTGGACTGTGGTCGAGTTAAGAAACGTTTTTATGACAGAGTGACGGGGGTGTCGTCCTTTAAAGTCACGTGGACCTCCCAGGCCTCAGCCAATCAGAGGGCAGGTAGAGCTGGACGAACCGAGCCGGGACACTGCTACAGGTCAGAGCTCTTTGAACCCGCCGTGAAGTGGCTGTTTTCTTGACTTTTATAGATTTTTTTAATTAATTGTTTGTGTTTTTACCTTCACCCTGCAGGCTGTACTCCTCTGCTGTGTTTGGAGACTTCAGTCTGTTCTCAGAGGCGGAGATCACTCGCAGGCCTGTCGAAGATCTCATTTTACAGATGAAGGACCTAAACATAGAAAAGGTCAGCCAAAAAGGAAGAAAGAAAAATACAAAAACCCCACATGCATTAAAGGAGAATAACATAATTGCAATCTCTTTTTTCTTCTTTTTTTTGCAGGTGATTAATTTTCCTTTTCCCACCCCTCCGTCCTCTGAGGCTCTGATTGCTGCAGAGGAGCTGTTGGTCTCGTTGGGAGCGCTCGAAGAACCACCTCGAACTGGAAGGTACCTGTCTGTCTGCCTGCCGCTGAGGGCAAAGATGATTTTATTGAAATTCTAAGGAATTAATCATTGAATGGATGTCTGCAACTTGTGACTTCAGGAGACAAACTGATTCAAGATGGCAGCCACAGTTAATGAGCCTTAACCTACACAAACTTGTATAACAGCTACTGAACTCAAATTTGATGTGGCAATAGAGTAATTTGTAACATATTCTGACTACTAAAATATCACTTAAAGTATGCAGTTATTGCAGGATCACATGAGATACAAAATGGCTGTACAGTAACTCCATTTCTCAATTTAAGATGATCTTAGTTTAAATTCTTGTGTGAAATGTAGGCGACATGCATTCCTTCAAGGAGTGCTAGACCTCGAGGTGGATAGCATAGACAATATTTAGTTTCAGCTCTTCTAGTCATTCTTACTAAGAAAATCTCTAAAATGTAACAAAGGCTAATTTTATGAGCTGTTAAAGTTTATAGAAACTTCTAATTATTTCCAGTTTTATGACATTGTTCATAAAAAAAAGATTTAATTGTTACTAGTCAAGACAATCTCTAACTTTAACCGCCTTTTTATATAATATTTGTCATTGAGATTTAAGAAAATAAAAGTATTTGTTTTTACTGTCCACCACATGTTAACTTGTTAATTTCTTGTTAAATAAGGGTGAAAGAGTTGCAGCGAGCAAAGATGAGCTGTCCCATCACTCCTCTGGGCAGAGCGATGGCTTCCTTCCCTGTGGCTCCACGTTATGGGAAGATGTTAGCTCTTGGGAAGCAGCAGGGCTGCCTGCCTTACGTCATCGCTGTGGTCGCAGCCATGACTGTTCGAGAGATTTTTGAAGACCTCGACAGGTGGACATGTTTTCTTAAATCGGTAGTATTTAAAGTTAGGATGCCTAAAAATGAGACGTTCACTGTAGCTTCCAGTTCTTAACTCTCTTAATTCACGCTTAATTAAACATATATATATATATATATTTTTTTTTAAACATGCTCTAATTTCTCCTCAGACCTGCACACAGTGAAGATGAAAGCTCAAAGCTCACCCAGCGTCGAGCCCGGCTGACCCAGATGAGAAGGCTGTGGGCCGGACAAGGACCTTCGCTCCTCCTGGGGGACCTTATGGTCATGCTGGGTAAGATATTGAAGCAATATTTTTACATTATTAACCTATGAAACAATTAAGCTTTTTCTAAATCTCGCTTGAATTTACTTTATCTGTAACTTTTTTAGTATTAAATACCAGACAAACCAGTTGTATACAGACCTTCTAGCCCAGGGGTGCCCAAACTTTTTCTCTGAAAGGGCCAACTTTAAAATCTATCAGAGGGCTGTGGGCCAAATGCAATAATATAATTCATGAAATGCAAATACTTCTTTAAGTAAAGTCCATTGACTTATTATACATTTATTTATCCTTCTATTCTGTATAAAGAACATACAGAACAGGTTGTGTTGGTGGTGGGGGGTCTGGGGGTCCTCCCCCAGAGAATTTTGAATAAAGTAGATGCCATTTCCTGCATTTTGGTGTATTTTACAAAGGTTTATTACATTAAATTAACATGAAACAAGACGTAAACTCTGTTATTATTGAAATCTGTGACTGCAAAGCTGCAGCTCTGCAGGTAAGAGGTGTTCACTTCAGGACAAATCAAGGTCGCTGACTGGTCAGTCGCTGATGTATCTACTGGACTGATTGACAGGTGGTGTGACTCGTGCAGAAAAATTATAGATTTTATGTCCCGTTTGAGACTGTTGTCATTTATTCCATATTTATTCAACATGTATTCAATATTTTGGTGAATCTAAGGTTTGAGAACTGTTTCCTTACACAATCCTAATGATTGTTTCTTAATTTTTCAGAGATGCTGAGTTATAATTTAGGGGTGCTCAAGAAGGGTGTGTGATGGACACCTACATGATGCTCAGCTTTGTCAAAGGAAAGTTATTCAGCAGCGAGAAACTGCAGAGACACTAGGATGTCTGTCAAAATAAAATACAAATGATTAAAATTTAAAAAATTAATGCACAGTCACTCCAGCTGTGTAGTGTCATTACAGTAGTCACTGGGCCAACTGTCCATCTAACATTAAACTTGGAATGACTGAGTGTAAGCACAGTGATTCTTCAAAGGATATTTTAATATAGTAATGAGGTCAGCTTGGGGCCCCACTTTGAGCACCCCTGTTCTAGCCAACTATGATAATGATACTAATCAGGTTAATAAACAAAATGTGAACAATATCTCCCAACAGTTTTCTCTACGATGTCTTTTCAAAAGTTGAATATGATCAGAGTGTCACCTTATTTCTGTAAATATGTGTCTGCAGGTGCTGTTGGTGCTTGTGAATATGCTGGCTGCACTCCCAGGTTTTGTGAGGACAATGGACTGAGGTATAAAGCCATGCTGGAGATCAGGAGGCTGCGAGGTCAACTTACCAACGCTGGTACACAAACACAGACTCGATCTACGTCAAATCAGCCTCAGAAACACAAAAGATTCAGCGTAACGCTCCTTTTTCAGTGAACGCAGTGTGTCCAGAGGGTGGAGTGTTTGTGGATCCTAAGATGACGCCACCAAACGAACATCAGGTGATTTGTTTGCGACAGATTGTTCTGACCGGACTGGGAGACCACCTGGCGAGGCGTGTTCAAGCAGAAGAAATGTTGGACGCTAAATGGAAGAATGGATACAAGGTAAATTGCTCCAAAAGCTGTGACTGTGACGTAGACGAATGCATTTAGCTCCTCTTCACCTCCTCACTTTTATCTGTGTTTGCACAGACTCCTCTTATGGACGACCCGGTGTTCATTCACCCCAGTTCTGCTCTGTTTAAAACGCTGCCAGAGTTTGTTGTCTACCAGGAGATCATGGAGACCTCCAAAATGTACATGAGAGGTAAATTAATCTGATGGAAAAAGACAGTAAGAACCCTCAGGTCTGAAGAGTACCGTACTTGCCGCCGTACACGTCGCACCACCCTATAAATCGCATCAGTCTAAAAATGTCTAATAAAGTGGAAGAAAACATAAATAAGTTGCATCTATTATGCATCACTGCTGACGCGTCATGTTTATTATGCGTCACCACTGACCACCCGGAAACATGGGCCGGTGTTCCAAAAATCGATTAGCTGCCAAATGGCGGGAGCGTGCACGGGAGGACTTTAACAAGAATTTAACAAGATTACCGCTTAAAAACAATTATTTGCTTGCTTGACATTATTGCAAAGGTTTGTCTCTGTTTAACTTTCTTTATTAAATTCACTTTAATGGTGAAATCAGCTGCATTTCGCCTGGGCGGCACGGTGAAATGCAGCTGATTTGATGTTTGCTCCAGGAGTTCCAGAACGAGACGAAGGTGGCTTTGTATGGCAAGACAAGTGTCTCATTAATAGCCACTTTTACCTATTAATGAGACACTTGGCTTGCCATTTTAGTGGAGGGCCCTCTAGTGGCTGAAAATGGTAATGATCAATATTTTCCATGTCGGAATGAATGAAGTTGTCAGATCTCAGCCAAAAATTGGATTATAAATATGGGGGGGAAAGTTTATTAGTCACTTTGGTGTATAAGTCGCAGGACTTGCTAGTTTATGCAAAAAGGTGCAACTTATACGGCAAAAAATACAGTGTTTCCTGTAGACTGACTTTTTTTTACCTTTTGTCTTCAGCTTAGCCAAAGGAACTTCTTTATGTTAACTTTATAACTTAACTCATAACTTTATAAACTTTATTGTCGTTCAGAATTGTACGGTGCACCATGCAAAATTGAACAGAATTTCGGTTTAATTTCTCCACATCAGTGTAGGAGTACGTTCGAACAGAAGATGCAATTCTGGTGCGGATACAAGGAATGTGCAACGTTGTGTGCTAGTGTAAACTTTCAGTCGCCCAGGACGTGGCATTTTCTTAGAGTTTAAAAGCAAAGCAGCTGGTCTTTATTCTGTTTGTTGAAGACGTTTCGCTTTTCACCTGGGGAGTTTTTTTCTGTTTAAAACTGGAGTGTGTGGACCTCCAAGTTCTGTGAGTTCAGCTTTCATAAATGAAGCACCTTGTAGCTTTGTCTTCAGCTAACAGAATAAAAGTCCAGATGCTCTTTTATTTACTTCATGGAAACAAAGTGCCTGGCGTTTGGCAGCTGTGGGAGATTTATTATTTGATCATTGAACTATAAAATACAGATTTGATTTAATTACTGTCTCATGATCTGGATCTAAAATTTAAAGATGTTTCCTCCTGTCAGGTGTTTCAGCTGTTGAAGCGGAGTGGGTCCCTCAGCTTCTGCCACAGTACTGTCACTTCAGTCCTCCTCTGGAGACGCCGGCACCGATATTCTGCTCCTCCACAGGCACCATCAAATGTCACAGACCAAGCACCTTCTGTACGTATTCCACAGTGGAGAAACAGGAGCTGATGGGGTTTGTGACTAAGCTTTTCATAATTTCTGTGTCTCCTTCAGTCCGTGTGGGCTGGCAGCTCCCTGCAGTGGAGATGGAGTATCCAGAAGGTCTGGATCGCTACAAGCTGTTTGCCAGGTTTCTACTTGAGGGACAGGTACTGCAACAAAACATTTAAAACCCTGAATGTATCTGTTCTAAATTATAGGTACATCCAATAAATAGCAAAGTTCTTTCCTTTATATTTTACTTGGCTCTTCAGCAACTCATGCTAGTTCCTTTTGTTTCACAATGACATGCAAACAAAGATTTATTTTGGTGGCTATCATATTCATTTTATTTATTTGCTGAAACGACCAATTTAGTCAGCATTCACTTAAGTATCTCTGAAAGGTCTACCACTTTCACCTACTAAAATGTCTGTGTCAAGGAGCGCAGGTTTGTTTTTCTGATGTTTTCTCCATGAAGCTTTAAAATGGTTCAGCAGAAAGGAGGATCTCTAAAACCTTGTGTTGGCTTAGCTCCTGTGTTTATTTGGTAAACCAGTGAAGTAAAAATTGACAGAAACTTTCCAAGAATGCAAATAAGAGCCCAGAAGTTTCAAATAAAGGTACATGCTCGTGGCCCAACTTTATTAAAAATGCAAAAGGTTGCAGAATTACAAGTATTGTTTTGTACTATAACTAAAAGACGAAAAGCAAACTGGGACTTCATAAAAACTCACAAAGGTGTACAGTTGTCTTTCTTCCCCCTTCGACGTCTCACTTCTTCAAGAACGGGTCTTGTCTCCAGTCTCGATCCCTCATTGGCTCGTTCTGCTGCACTTCTGGATTTCCAGCCTTCTCCTGTGCTTGGGGTCGGGGGTGGGGGTTCTGGTCACAGGCCCAGCCTGCACCTGTTGACCCATGTTGGGTTGAACATTCCCCACATCCAGGGCATGTTAAGGGAGATGAAACCAGAGTATCCCATCGTTGCAGGAGGTTATGTCATGGGCAAATTTCCTTTTTGCCTTTCTCAACATTATTAATAATTTATTTTAAAAAGGTAAATGCACATAAAATCGTATAATTCCCCCCAAAATTCTTTTTTTTAATTGTCTATTGTGTTAAGTTTGCATTTTTCTTGACATGGCAAGACAAAAACTAAATTATATACTAGGGATGCACGATATTATCTGAATGGTATGGGATGATATTAGTGTTAAAATTAAATATCGACCATTACATCAAAATAACTCACTGATATATAATATCCAAGTATATCCAAATATACATAATCCAAGTTGAAGTGTTACATCATTTTCAGCTCTCTTTTTGGCATCTGCATTTGGTAGCAGGCCAAACTGACAAAGACTATGCAGAATGTATTTTAATTCCACAGCAGAGAAAGCTCTGTAGTCTCTGTAAGTAAGTAGGTCTAGGGGTAAAATATTGGTATAGATTATTGGCCAAATAAGTTTTAACATATTGGCATACCAGATATCCGCCAAAAATCCAATATTGTGCATCCCTGTTTACATTTTTTTCCCATCTTAATGTGAAATTCAATACACGATCACACTTCCGCAAATAATAATTCTTGCACCTCATGTGAATTTTGTTTGTTTTCAGGTTTGTCCCAAACTAAAAAAACACACCGGCCACCTTCTCTCGAACCCCTCCATCTTGATGAAAATATGGGCAAAGTAAGTTGACGGTCTCGCACAGATTTAGCGGCTCAAGTTTCCTCTTCTGTTTGGTAAAGCAGACTTAGAGAAAGAAAGTGTGAAATCAAACCATTTTTCTAGAGAGCTCTAAACAGCTTATCTTGCACTTGATGTCGAAAATGAGTATTTGAGTTAACTCATTTTCATCTTTGTTGTTTTAGGCTGCAGCCAAGAACGGAGGCCTTACTGGCACCACTGGTGTCAAAGAAGGTTGACTGCAGGGAGGCACTCCTTTCTGTCTGGAAGACTGAAGAGAAATGTGAGGGTTTAAAGTGGATGGCTTGTTTCTGTTGTGATCTTGTTGCCTAATTCTGCACTATGTTATGTTTCTTTCCCAACAGTTCTGTTGTCTGCATACTGCCAGTGGTTACCTGAAGCTTTGCACCAGGGAGTTGATAAAATCTGGCCTCCTGTTTAAATGGCTGGCATCAGAAAAGCAAAAAAAATAACAGTAAACTGGCCAGAGACGACGACCTTCACATCAGCAGAACCCACTTTACCTTAAAGGGGACCTCCTCAGATTCTGCTGTTTTTAAAAGTTTAATCAAAGTGCAACTACAGTAACACACCTACTTTGCTTAGATTTTATTTTTTCATTTTGTATGTTGTGTATGACCGGTAAAGTTATTTCATTGCAGAAATATCTAAGTCAGTGCTCTATAATATTGTTATCAATGTGTTGCTGTTGGTAAATTTGATCTAATTTTGGTCTTTACAAGACTTCATAAAACTTGATGTGACAGAGAGTAGCTTAGAATTTATTTCTGCTTTCTTTACCATTTCATTAAACTTTGTATGTTTCAAAAGATGTTTGGCGTCAGTAAGGTTGTGTGTAGACTTATTGGAGTTGCAATGTTTATACGTTGAACAATTTTAAGGTTATTTAGTTCGAGATACATGGCAACCTAACATTCAACAAGTTGTGATACCATATTTTCCTTAGGCTTAATTTAGAAATTAATACTCGTTAAATATATACATTACATTTTTTTTTAAATTGTGAGTTGGTTTAGATGAAGAATAAATAAATTCCAAGTGGACTTAATTTACCAAGCTGGGAATGTTTGAGGAAAAGATAATTGAGAGTTAAAAAAGGTTTGAGATCCATATGTCAATAAAATGGGCTTTGCTTATTTGTTATTTTTAAATGAATAAATTTATTAAAGTCTTTATAAAATTGTTTTACTTTATTTGACATGATGTACATCTGTTTAATTTTTTCCCCAAAAACCAGTTAAATCCTAAACACAAACTAAATTCTCCACATAATAAGAAATAAAGCTATAGTTCCCAATTTTTAAATTATTTAAACTGAGCAACCACTTATTTACTATATATATATATATATATATGTGTGTGTGTGTGTGTGTGTTGTTTTTTGCTTTTTTTTTTTTTTTTTAAGAAAATGGTTGATCATCAGGATGGAACTCTTATATAAATTGCTTCATCCTCCATCTTCTCATCAGACAAGCCCCTTCACTGTCCATTTTCAAAACTCTTAAAAATGCATTTGTACTCCCTGGCTTTTAGCACAGACTGAATTTGTTCTGCACTGTTTTTATTGATCTTAATGTTTTAACAATGTTTTTTTTTTTTATGTGTTTAAACTTTCTTGATTTTATGTGTACAGCACATTGTTGCAGCTGTGGTTGTTTTAAAGGGCTTTATAAATAAAGTATTATTATTATCATTATTATCCTTAGTAAACACTTGAACATAAAAGTGATCAAAGTTCATGCTCAATAATCCAGGTAAAAAAAAAAAATCCAAGAAAGTTGCGTCAAATCCTCAGGATGGTTTCTTTTTTTTGTTGAAATGATTTTGTCCTTCATCCAAAGGACTTCATCAGTCCAAGGAGCCACAACAAACTCAGTACCAAAAGCAGCAAACTCGCATAGTGGGCCACCCAGTTTGATGGTAATAAGATGGTTTCTGGAGTCTGCCCTCTCCTGTCAACTTCTCTGAGGCAGCCATGGCCAAAGTGGCTAAGTGTTAAAAAAAAAAAAGACATCCAGAGGACCTGCTTTATAATTTGTTGGATTTTTACCTGGATTATAGAGCATGAACTTTGATGTTTTGAACCATTTTGGCCATGAGGAGAGGAGTAGGCGAAGGTGGACTCCAGAAACCATCTTCTCACCATCAAACTGGTTGGCCCACTATGGGAGTGTGCTGCTTGGGGACTGAATTTGTTGTGGCTCCTCTGACTGATGAAGTCCTTTGGATGAAGGACGAAACATTCCAACAACAAAAATAAACCGTACTGAGGACCTGGATTTAAATTTTACGTCAATCCGCTGCAGTGATTGTTTAGCGTCTGCTGCAACGTCACTTCCTCTTGTTTACGCATGACGTCAATCCGTTACCGCCTGATTGGCTAGCGGCAGCCGCGACGTCACTTCTTCATGTTTACACTTCCGTGATAAGAGGACCACAGAAGACGCCAAAGCGTATCCTTACAGGCATTTTTAATCCGGTGTTTTCACAAACAAAGACCTAAACTGTCAATATGGTAAGAACTGTTAAACCACTGTTGACTCTGGACAACATTTTGTTTTGGAATAAATCGTCGCGGTAGTTAAAGTAGCTAAGCTAACGGCTAACAACAACAGAGCATACTGCGCTGTCATGGTCGTGAAAGTTTATCTTGTTGATTCCAGTCTTCACAAAACTATTTAAAAATGATTTCGTCGAATGTCATGAATATATTGTGCTTTCTCCACCCCCGCAGTTTTCCTTCCACCATGTTTTCGACCACCCTATGGCCCGAGGTTTTCAGAGCCGATTTTCCACTCAGTACCGCTGTTATTCGGTGTCTATGCTCGCTGGACCCAACGACCGCTCCGATGTAGAGAAAGGAGGCAAAAGTGAGTCCTGTAAAAAAATAAACAATGTAAATCGCTTCAGTGTTCCGTTTTGTTTGTAGGTAAAACCACTTGTAAAGATAACAAAAAATAGTTTGTATTTCTGAAAAATTACACATCAAATATGATCTAGTTCTCCCGTGTTTCTTGGACATTTGTCATTATTAATTCTAACAGAACACAAAGGATAAAATTTAATGCCCAAGATATTAATGTCTTTTTTTTTCTCTCAGTAATAATGCCCCCTTCTGCTCTTGATCAGCTCAGTAAGTGCAATTAAAAATTATTTTTATTTTATTTTTTTTTATGTTTTGCACACACAATCTCTGTGATTCTCATTAATTTTCTTTTGTTTTTTTCTGAACAGGCAGGCTTAACATCACCTATCCTATGCTTTTCAAGCTGACCAACAAGAACTCAGACAGAATGACACACTGTGGCGTCCTGGAGTTTGTAGCAGATGAGGGAATCTGTTACCTTCCACACTGGGTCAGAAACAATACATATTGATTTTAAATAAGATTGTGAATTATCTACTTTCATTAGTGGTGGAGAACTGACAAATTTTTCACATGTGTCAAATAATAAATGATTTATGCAAACAGTAGTAGTATTTGTTTTATCTAATGGTCAGAAAAGGATTTAATAGAAATGTTGGATTGAATACTTCATAAAAATATGTAACTTCTGAATGTACATGATATTTAACTTTATATTGTAGAGTAAATACTTATGATTATTTTTTTCCTGTTTTGTTGCAGATGATGCAGAACCTCCTCCTTGAAGAGGGGGGTCTGGTTCAAGTGGAAAGTGTAAACCTCATGGTGGCAACCTATTCCAAGTTCCAGCCCCAAAGTCCTGATTTCCTAGACATTACAAATCCCAAAGCAGTGTAAGAAAAATCATCTTGATAAGTTTGTTAAACCTAATTTTAACATTACATTTAATTGATGCGCTCACAGAAGTAACTTTTTTTTTTTTTAGACTGGAGAATGCACTGAGAAACTTTGCATGCTTGACAACTGGAGATGTCATAGCTATAAACTACAATGAGAAGGTAAGAGTTTATTCATGCAGTCTTTTTAAAATAGTTTTTATTGTGTAATTTAGTTAATGGGATCTGTGTTTTTGTAAAAGATCTATGAGCTGCGAGTTATGGAAACCAAACCAGACAAAGCCGTATCCATCATCGAGTGTGATATGAATGTAAGACACTTTTAATCTCACAGACAAAAGTAAACCGTTCTTTGCCATCACTATTCCGGGTAAAGGTTGTGAATGTATGTGTTCCTTAGGTGGATTTTGATGCGCCTTTGGGTTACAAGGAGCCTGAGCGACGATCTCAGAACCAAGAAGAACCAACAGTAATATCCCATCTATGACAGTACAGACACATGTTATGCTGCAAAGTATAAAGTGATTAAACTCATTGCTTGGCAGGAGGATGATGGAGACACCAGCAGTTATGCTGACATGGACACAGGATTCAGAGTAAGTGCTTATTGCTACAACTTTGAGACCCAAAACGTTCCCCACACCAGTGATTACTGTTGGTACTGGAATGAATGTGTTTGCTGTTTTTCTTTCAGCTGAGCTCTTCTTCAGGAGTTGCCCCTGCAAGCGATCTCACATAAAATGTTTGGCAATTGCTTTACAGCAAATGTCCTTCCTGGCACAACCTGGACTCAAACCAGCAGGTGTCAATACAACTTCTGAAATATATATATATTTTTCTCTAATACTCAGGCTTTTACCGGCTCTGGAAATCGCTTGGATGGTAAAACAAAAGGTATTGAGCCCAGCCCTACTCCTCTTGCTCCAAGTGACATCAAAAGGTGAGCAGATGTTTAGCATTTAGTTGTGCAGATGTTAACATTCAGAGTTTTGAAAGCTCTGCAATCATATAGAGTCTGTGCTTAGGATATATTTGTTATTTTAGAACATTTAAAACTTAGTTGAGAAAAATTGTAAAGGAAGATGAGGAGGGGGGGAAAAGGACAGACTAGGACAGAGATTAGGAATAACTTGCTTTCTGACCTTGCAACCACTGTGAACATTATTGTTTATGATGAAAAGTTTACCTCAAGCCAAGATACAAATATTAGTTACTATATTTTTAAAGAATAAAGTTCTATGATTAGTTCTCTGCATTTAACCCTTCACACGTGAGATACACCCAGGTGGGTCAGTGGGCGGCTGTGTGAGCGCCCAGGGAGCAATTAGGGATTAGGTGTCTTGCTCAAGGACACCACGGCATGTGGGCATGGCAGGGAGTTGAACTTGCGACTTTCTGGTCCCAAGTAGGCCTGTCGCGATAAACAAGAAATCAATTAAACGCATGATAAATGAAAATTATCAACCTCATTTTCATTTTTTGGCTTTATAGTTTCTTCATGTCTCTCTTTCTACTGAAGACACTGGATGACAAAAGGCTCAACTCCGGTGCTCTTCACAAAATCGCGTTTTTGGATCGTTAAAAGCAGCTAAGCTGAGAAGCTAAGCTACAAGCTAAGCTAACAAGCTGACCTCAAGGGGGGGGGGGGGGGGACCTCCGTCTTGTCGAAGCTCCAAAATTCACAGTTGAAACCCGTGCCTTCATGTAAAAAGTTGTTTTTCTCTGCGAAAGGAAGCTGAGAACTTGTTTAATGTTTTTTTTTTTTTATTAAAAACTTTGAGCGACAAATGTTATGTTAAAAAGTTAAAACCACACAGCGCGTCCGCCATTTTTAGGACTAAAAAGAAGGAAGGAGAGACTTCCCATGTCACGTCAAGGGACCTCCTTCCCATTTTTCTTAGAGACACGCTGCTCGCTCCCTCACTATCCATCCTTTATCCAGTGGTCAAACAAAGGTACTACACTCAAAACAAATTAACCAACACATCTTCTTAAATTTGACAGTGATTACAATTATTGTCAAATTTCAAACAACGTTATCGTTTTTCGCAATAATTTGAGACAGTCGCTCAGCAAAATTTGTTATGACAGGCCAAGTCCAAAGTCCCCTGCCCTACCTCTACACCATCTCAGCCCCATTTATATCTACTTTAGGTAAAACTTCTCATGGAGGACTGGATTGTACTCGTCTCAAATCAATGCAATAATTTTGCACAAAATAACTCCGTATCACTTGAGTCAAAACGCTGCATTTGCATAAAAATGGAAGCAAACATGTTTTAATGGTGTTAATTATTTAAATGTGCTTATGCCATCACACTGCATTTTTACAATAATTAATGTCATTTAGTTGTAGCATCTCGGAGTACAACTGGAGCAGCAAGCAGTTCGTGGACATTCTTCTTAAGTCATTCTTTAACTCCAAACTTTGACCTGACTCAGCTGAATTTTCTATTATTTCTTGTTTAAATACGTTTTCAGTGGTTTGTCTAATGTACTTTCCCCTCAGAGGCATTCCAAACTACGAATTCAAAGTTGGCCGGATCACCTTCATCAGAAACTCCAGGCCTCAGCCCAGAAAGAACATAGAAGAAGTAAGTTGTGTAAATCATTTTTATCTATGTTGTTTGTTTTACTTGTACATCATTAAATCCCTGCAGATAATTGTTTACTTCAACTCCATTCTGTAAATCAGCACTTAGGTTGTTTGTGATGTTTAATTAGTAAATATTCCACCTAGATTATTCTAGATTCACTTCTAAATGTTTTTCTTTTCTCTCAGGATGACACCGTGAACCGATTTATTGCCTTTTCTGGACAAGGACAGTCGCTACGCAAGAAGGGCAGAAAGCCTTGAAGAGTTATAAACAGGGTTTGGCTTTTGGGACATATTTAACAGCAAAGTAAAAATTGCCTTCAAAGGCACTTGGAATTGCCTTTGTATCTGTTTGAAGTGGGTACTTTGCTGATAACGTTTGTTTTAAAAATGATCTTTGACAGTAATATTTACTCTGATGAAGCTACACTGCTTGAGTACTGTCGGGTATCATTTGTATTCAGAGGTCCAGGCTGCCTGATCGGAGCCAAAACAAACAGGCTGTTTCACCAACACATACGTTAGTGTGAAGATTATTGTTGTTAAATTTGAATTATTTGATCATCTTTTTTTTTTTTTCAAAATGGTTGAATTTAGCCAAAATAAACCTTTTCCAAAATCTTATTACCATATATCAGAGCAAAAGTACTTTTGTTTCATTAATGTTAGAAAAACTCTTTAAGTTTGGATGTTTTTATAGGTTGACATGAATACTTTGCAACAATTTTTTCTTTGTTAATTTACAAATAAAGGATTATGTTTTGAAACTGCCTTGATTTGAAAATTTTATGCCATATCAACAAAATATGTGTGTGTGTGCTGTAGTCCCTCGTTTATCGCGGTGGATCTGTACCCTGAAGCCCCACGATAAGTGGAAAAAACACAAAGAAGGAATAGTAGTACAAGTAGTAAGTAGTTTAGTGTGTATATATAGTATATACTATAGTATACTAGTTTTAGTATATACTGTATGCATGTTTGTGTGTATATATATATATATATATCTAGATGAGCACAGAATGTCTTGATTTCCCTGTTTATGGCAAGCCATTTTAACATACAATCGATTAGTCTGACAATCTGTAGTTACATTCTAGATATCTAAAAATGAGTTTATATTTTTTATATTTTGATATCTGTATTTACATTCTGACTAGTCAGAGTGGCATTTTTAGATATCTTGAATTAAGAAACTGTGCGTAGGCCCCCCAGGCTGCCTGTTCAGTTTCCTGCATAGATTCTGGCGGATTTTCTCTGACTCTGAAGACAAAGTGACAGATAGAACCAACAATACTGACGGATCACAAAGATATCACAATTAAAATAGATTTAAATACTGACAGACTGGGTCAGAATAAAGATTACTGGGAATTAAATGACTCCTTATTAAAAAATGAAGACTTTTAAATTGAATTAATTAGACTAATTTAAAAAGCGGTGCACTGCAAAACGTGCTTGTTGTAGTCATTAATCCTGACTTCTTCATTTTGTTAAAAAAAAAAAACAAAGCACAAATTATTTTATTCATTTTTGTTAGGTCAAATTGTGGTATATAACACTCCTGAGTTAAAATGTTCCTGATCGATTTGAATTTATTATTATTTATTGATTGTGTCTTTCAGCATCAAATGGTCAAAAATGTTTACCGTTTAAATAAGGATAAAAAAAAATTCAGGCAAACTGATGAACTTTAAGCCTTTTCGGTTACAGACTATAAACACTGTTAATAATCTTTGTTGTAAGTTGAGCTACATTTCTTGTTTAATGTTAATAAGGACACAATGTTATGCAGCGGTGCACTTTAACAATTTTAATCACAAATGATACTATTTACAGGTGCATGTGTTAAACGATATTATTATGATATTAATGATAAATACCTCTTAAATTATCAGCACACCACTTCCACACAACTAGATTATTGGCACTAATATGGGACCACACCTAAACAAAGCTGTTATCTTCTTCACCAATCAGGGGAGAGAACATTCACCCCTTCCAAAAATTATCTGTCAGAGAAAAGCTCACCTGGATGAGCAGATCTCTGGGTGATCCACTACGCAACGTGGATTCACCGTACATAATTTCGCTGAATAAATTTGAGTCACTCAAATGGGTGTGTTTTACCTTCCTGCTATTTTGACTGAAGGTACACATTTTTTATTTTTTTATTTTAAAGGAAAAGAAAACACGGGAGCTCAAACTCCTCACGGATATAAAACAAACAAAAAAAAAAAGCAATTTACACAAATGTTCATACAGACTGTCAAATTTTACCTTTAGTATAAAATGCATATATAATTTACCACAATGCACTGCGGCATGGATGCGCAAAAAAGCTAACCCAAATATCTCACAAACTTTATCAATTCATTCTCTTAAAGCAGACCAGCAGCACAACAGAGCTCAGATTACATCAATCCAGCCTGAACAGCACCAGAAAACTGTGAGATTTACATACGAGATTTAGAGAAATTAATAAAATCTCAACTCTGAATGTTTTTTAAACTAGCTTGACGTCACTTCCTGTCTTCTCTCAAACTGCAGTAATGCTGCTGCTGCCACCTGCTGTTCAGAAGTAAATACAACATGTATCAGAAGTTACTCCACAACAAAATGAACCAAAAACTAGCAGAAGGTCAGACTAACTAGTTCAGATGTTGTTGAAGTCCAGATGTATCCTGATGACAACATTTGAAAATTCAGAGGATCCAGAAACACACTTATCCACACCTGTACAGCCTGGGAATGGAATGTTAATGTTGTCCCTCCTTTTCTGTACCGTGTGGAAGAGCTGGAGTGGTGAAATCACCATCATGCTTCAAACACTTCAGTTTCTCAGCACTGTGCAAATGTGTAAACTCTGCTAATTTCAGCCTAATTAACTTCTTTCTACTAATTTCAGCTTGTTGTGCTCTTTTCAGCCTATTTCTGCTAGTCTAACTTATCAGAGTCAGAGATTCTTTATTGTCGCTCGCACCTGACGTGGTACATGTGGTGGAACGAAATTATGTACACAGGGTCCCAGTTACGTCCAACAATAAAATGTAAAAGAAAAACAATGATAACATCTAAGATATAAACTAAGAAAAACATCAACTAAATATACACTAAGCAGTAATAGCATAAAAACACTACGTCGAACATCAGCACAAACATGAACATGAGTCTGTGTGAGCAGATGAGCACGCATGAACGCATCAACATTGAAACAGATCAGCAGCAACATTGAAACAGATCAGCAGCAACATGAAACAGATCAGCAGCAACATGATGTGATTGTTTCACAGTGATTATTCTGGTTAGAGATTCATGAGTCTAACTGCGTCAGGGTAGAAGCTGTTCCTCAGTCGTGTTAGTCATTTCAGCAAGCTGTTTTATGATATTAGCTTTTTCAGCTAATTCCAGATTTTTTGCACTCATTTCAACTTTTTTCTGCCTAATTCAGCAAAAATGTGTTCTCCACTTTTCTCTGGTAGTTTAAGCTTCTTTCTGCCTTTTCAGCTACTTTTCAGCTTTTTTTTTTTTTAGCTAATTTCCTCATTTCCTCTGCTTATTTAAACATAATTCAGCAATTATGTGTTCTTTCAGTTTTGTTCTGTTAATTTAGGCTTGTTCTTCCATTTCAGTTATATTTCAGGTGTTTTTCAGCAAGTTTTCAGCAATAAGCATTCACACTGAATTTTGCAGGAAATGCAATTTCTTTAGTTGAATATTAAAACACGCGTATACAGTAATGTTGACAGAACATTATATTATTCATCTTTATCTGGTGAGAATAAACATAACCCCAGGTTCCTTTTCAGTGATGAAAAATCCTGTCTATGTTGATTCTTGTGTACTTACAACTATAAGCAGTGATGACTTTATGAGATTCTTTATAAATAAAATTGTTTCAATTAGGGAAAACTTTCAAACCTACATTCGCCAGTGGTTCTGTGTCAAATGAGACAACTTTAAAAATGTCAGTAGAACCTGATTTATGTTTGGATTGTTTTTATCCTGTTGAGCTCTGAAATGTCAAAAATAATAGCTTCATCCAAACCATCCACATGCCTGCTAGATCCCATCCAGGCTATTTAAAGACGTATTTCCCTTGATTAATAACCACGTCTTGGATCTGCTTAATTTGTCTCTAATAAATGGTTTAAGATTGCTGTAATTAAACCTTTACTTAAGAAACATAAACTTGACTCAGGAATCATAACCAACTATAGACCTATATCTAATTTAACTTTCATCTCAAAAATTCTAGAGAACATAGTTGCTGGTCAGTTACATGATCATCTGCAAAGAAATAATCTGTTTCAGGAGTTTCTATCAAGGTTTAGAGCTCACCACAGCACTGAATCTGCACTGGTGAAAGTTACTAATAATATTCTCACGGCCTCTGACAATGGATTTGTGTCTACACTGGTCCTGTTAGACCTCAGTGCTGCAGTTGATCACAATATTCTACTACAGAGACCTGAGTTTGATATTGGAATTACAGGAACGGCTCTAAATTGGTTTCAGTCATATCTATCTGATAGATTCCAATTTGTAAATGTAAATAAGGAAGCTTCATCATACACCAAAGTTAATCATGGTGTTCCTCAGGGTTCAGTGCTTGGACCAATACGCTTTACCTTCTGTATGCTTACATTAAATAAAGTTATTAAAAAGCATGGGATAATTTTTCATTGTTATGCTGATGATACAGTTATATTTGTCCATGAAACCCAATTAATATATTCAGCTACTTAAACTTCAAGCATGTCTTAAAGACATAAATACCTGGATGACCGTTAATGTTCTGCTTTTGAACACAGACGAGACTGAGGTTTTTGTTTTTGGACCTGATCATCTTGGGAATCATTTTTTCAGCCTTTCATCCTCCTTGGATGGCATAAATCTGGCCTCCAGCTCTAATGTAAAAAATCTTGGTGTTATTTTTGATCAGGACATGTCTTTTAGCCCTCACAATAAAAATGTTACTAGAACCACCACCTTCCACCTGCGTAATATCGCTAAAATTAGAAACATCTTATTTAAAAAATGATGCAGAAAAACTGGTTTGTGCATTTGTCACGTTTGGACTATTGTAATGGTTTATCCAAATACTTCTTTAAAACACTGTCAGTTAATCCAAAATGCTGATGCCAGAGTCTCAACTGGAGTTAGTAGGAGAGATCATATCTGCGGCCAGATCGGTTTGGATTATTTGGACCCAAGTGCAACTCTACGCCCAGGGGGGGGCGCGTACCACTATTTGAGAAGGACCAGGACTTTTCAGTACTTATGGGGGCACTTTTTTCTAAATCCAATCACAGCAGAACCAAAAGAACTAGGATCAAAACAGGGCGTCTACATCTGCCTCACATTTTAGCTGACATTTATGAAGGTGTCACAAGTTGAACATAACTCAATAATTTCTATTGAGAAATATTGTCAGCATACTGATCAAATTTAAAAAATATCACACTAATATTGATACATAATATTTTAAAATATTTTATTTTAAACAAATGTTCAGGATCCACACCACGACTCCACAGGACTGAACGCAGTGGAGACCTCTGCTGGAGAATGGCTCTTACCACATGCTTGATTGACAAAAGTAAAAGTTTTTATAAGCTCACCATGACAGACATTACTA